CCAGCTGAAACGCGAGATTCCAAAATAGCTATAGTGCTGCCACTGTATTAGTATTTCGTAATAATTCACTTTTCCTTATGAGATGTGTGCACTGTTCAATGCTTTTCGGTATCTTCTTTCGTTTTATATATAAATAATGAAAATTTTCGCCTGCGTCGCTTTCTCCATAAAAACCAATACTTCGATAAATAATGAAAACTTTTAATAAAAAATCGCGCGATTTTTTTTTTAAATTTTCGACTGCGGCGCTTTTTCCATAAAAATCAATACTTCGATAAATAATGAAAATTTTTAATAAAAAATCGCGATGGTATAGCGAAATTTGCTATTATATTTTGGTTACAATATCTTATTTATATGAAAGTAAAAAGAAGAAGAAGAAGAAGCAGTGTATAGTGTAAACTGAGTATAATAGCGCAAATGAAATGTGAAATAAAGTGGCAATACCAGCGATTTGAGGTTATAATAATTGGGGTGTTCACAGTTCGTTCCAAATAGTGTCTCAAAATGTAGACGTCTACATTTTGAGACGTTTTCTAACCGTAAAATCTGTGGTGTTGTTGTTTCCCATACAAAATTGGAAAACGACGCCGTCTACATTTTGTCACACTCAAAGGTATGTTTTTTACGCGTCTACATTTTGCAACCTCGCAGCAGGGTTGCATTATGGCAATACTAATCNCCTCCCGACTTTTCCGCACCTTTTTTAGGGGTTGTTACCCCACCCTAGAGAATTACCGAATAAACATGTCTAATTACAATCATGTCCTGAATAGAAACATCAGAACAACGATTCAGAAAATAAATAACTGAGATATTTTCTTCCTGGACTACATCACTGACCAATCGTGGAAGCTGACCACCCTCGGACTAAACAAGTTGTATATCGTTATTTTTGGTCTATCCGCAGTATTCGGGAAGTAAAGATGTAGGACGTTCCAGATGTGCATTTGCCCAGATGGTTGCTATATAATGTGCTCTAAACAAAATTACTGTGAAAACTTGTTTTCACGAAGTTTTGTGGATGTGAAAAAGAAAAGTTGAGCATTTTTCTCAGAACCACCATCTTTTCATAAAGAATATCATTGTTTTAAAATCACAATAATTAATAGATGTAAATGAGAAAGCTATTAATAATCAAGAATCGCTTAAAATGATATAACGAAATCATGATGCA